AGACATCTAAACATCATGGTGGCTTTATGGATTTCCTGCTGGCGTGCAAGATTTTTCCACCCTAAAAACTCGAGTAGCTCATTTGCATCAGCATCATAGTTAGAGAATGTCATCACACGGGCTGCTCTATTCTGCAATTTCTGCAGTTTGTCTCGTAGCGTTTTCCCACAGCTACCCCAAACAATGTCACAGTAACCAAAGTGAGGTTTTACTATAGCTTGGTAGATGAGATGTAAGGTTGATGCTGGGATCAGGTGCCTAATTCGCTTTAGGGCCCTGATACCCTCTCATTGTGTTGGTTGTATTAGTTAAAATTTTGGAGATGACGAGTTTTAACACTCACAGAAAACTCACTGAAAGTGCCCATCATGAGATGGAAAAATGCCATTTGTGTTCCCACTTGATTCCGCCTTTACTCATGCCAAATTGCACCAAGCACATGATTGAACCCCAGTTTCAAAACTAATAATACCATTTTTGAAACAAAAGATATTGTGCAGTATAATAGCTGGCGAGCTGGCTCTAATTATTTGTGCAGGAGGACATTTATTTCTCCACCAGTGGGAAGATTTGAGACAAGTCACCTGGGGCAGGGAGAGTTAAGCTTGGGGTCTGGTATTAACAATGAGCACTTGACTCCTTGCTGACCTCTTGCTGGAGAGCATTGCTCAAAGCCTCATAATTTCAAAGAAATGCTGGTGCCGAAGGGCTAATAATGAGGGACAAACACTACCACTAACCCTCTCAATATAACTGAATTCAGTAACAGAAAACATTTGAAATGAGAAATATTTGCTAAAAAAAAAAAATCACACCTATGATGTATTTTAGTCAAAAATGAAAAGAAAAATGAGTGAGTAAAATGAAAACATTGTTTCATCTCATGGATACTTTAAAAACTGCTGCATCTTTGTATCATGTAGAATGATCACAACACGTAAAGTGAACACACATCTCTATAAAGCATCCACTTGACAAACGATGAATATATCAAGTTTTCCTAAACATCAAGCTGCTCTGGTAGCGAGAAAGAGGGGAATGGAACCAAGGTCTTAGTAACCGCTCACGTGGTACTTTGATTGATTTACTGTTGACCATCTTTTGAGGTTCCACATTATTCAAACGCTCTGAGGAAAAAAAAAAAAGATACAAGATCAGTTCTGATCATTGGGGTTCTCATCAATAAATTAAGTTGCAAGAAAACAGTGAAAAAATAAGGGAAAGGATCATGTGGTAGGTAACAGCTCCATATCTGAATACAAAAATAGTTCAGGTAAAATTTAGCTAGAGAATTCTCTACAGTGGGGTGATGGTTATCTGACATTCATTGCCTAATGAACCCCCTGTCTTCATAATCCGTTTAACCCTCTACAACCTAATATCAGTATGTATATTCTCCTTACTGTCCTCTACACACTTTGCAAGATGCACACAAGAAGAATTTGTTCAACAATTGGAAGCTACTTTAGTTGCCCATCATTTCCTCTATTCTTGTGACCTTTATATTTTATTAAGAGATCATAGTTTAGGGAGGTATTAAATGCTAATCACTCTCAGTGGTAAAATGACTGCAATTAAGCATCAGTTACTTAGCAATCAACAACATCTTCCTTAAGAGACGTCTTACTGTGGACATGATACAACATCTATCACACATTTTCACTGAAGTCTTACATCCTAACATATAGTAAGGAAATAATATCCCCTCAGTAGCTAGTTTTTGAACAAGAATCGTTAGTGTCAGAAAGATAACAGAAAGGATCAATTAATCTGTCAGAAAGAGGAGTAAGTGAGAAACAATTAATAGTAACATTTAATCATGGTAAGCTACAGGGTATGAGGTTTTAAAAAGATATAATCCACCTCTATGAACCAAATAAATGCTTTTGTCATGAGGACCAAATGGATAATTTGACAGCTTACAATTCTGAAAAAAGAAAATGCACTTGTTATTAATAGAACTGGGGGAAGCTATGCTACCCTTACATTATTTTGTAGTTTGAAAAAAATTGTCATATTTTTTGGAATTTTTGAGTAAGGGAGGTGCTGTGGCCCCATGGATGTTGTGCTGGACTCTGGGCTGAGATTGGTCAGTGTGTTGTGTTCTTAGGCAGGACACATTACTCTCACTGTGCCTCTCTCTACCCAGGAGTGTTGATGGCCACAAGTGAATTCTCAGGAAAACCTGATGAAATGCTGGGAGGGAGGGAGGGTGGTGGTGACCTTGTGATGAACTAACATCCCATCCAGGGGAGAGTAGTGACACTCCTAGTTGTTTTATGATTGAGGAAACTGGAATAAACTCCAGCTGGATGGGCCACTTAGCTCAAATAAAGGCTGTACTTAATATGAGTTACAGCCAGCACCTTGAGGAATCTTACAGAAAAAACTGTTGAAATGTGGAACACATTCGTTATCAATGGGTCAGCAGTCAGTTCAATTTGCTGTTTCAGCAAAGTATTTGGAGTGGTAGCAAAAAATTTGCTGCCTTTTCAATTCATGTAAAAAGCAGTCTGCATGGATTGCTTCAAAATTAATGATATCTCATGCATACCATACTATTTTAGCATTGTTTAGGGAAAAAAAAACTTGTGTTATACAGTTGCCATATTCTGCACACTCAGGTGTCTAGAAAACCTCTACTTTTGGAAGTTAGCTACCATGGAACAACTACTGCAACAACTACTGATACTAGTTGTACAACTACTGCAATAAGATATACTTTACTCAAAAAGTTACTTACTTCCAGAATAAGAGTTCTGTTCTCCATATCCTGTGTCCATTGTGGAATGTACCTCTGTGGAATTTGAGGATGATAACGAGACCACACAGGTATGCTGAGTTCAATCGAAAAGAAAAATAGCTTTTAGTTTTTCATCCATCTTTGGAAAGTGGCCATGCTCCTATTTTTCACTTGAAACTCACATGAAGACTTTCCTTCAGGAGAGGCCCTCTTGATCATATGCTGAATTGACTCAACTTAACACTATGGTCATTCCATAGGGTACATTACATTGGTACGAGTAATTTGGCAGAAAGATTTCAGTTTCTCACATAATCAGCTTTAGAAATCTTCATTTAAAGAGATTAAAAACATTTTTCTTTACTTAGAAGATCGATTCAATTCAGACAAATTTATTTTCTGGATTTGCCTGGTTAAAATTTCCGACATATTTGAGCTGTGTTTAAGTCAATTTAGCACTGACTCAAGCCTCTCTGATCTCTTATATAGTCCGGAACTTATGCACTTAATGATATAAAATTTAAAAGCCCCTTTTAGATTGGACTGAGTTTATCCTGTAATCAAGTTTAATGTCTTTGCGTGGGGCATGGTTGCCCATATTGCCCGAGCCAGAGGCCAATTTACAATTTCAACTGAGTTGATACAACCAAATTACCTTGTTACCCCACCAACGCAGCACCACAGTTTCTTTTAGAAACTAACCCCCTTTTAGAAATTGTGCAGGCTAAAACTATTTCAAGGGTTAATATGAGATTTCTGTGCGAAATACCCCTGAAAACTGGCAGCTTAAGATTCCTTTTTGTTCGTTGCCTAGTGAAGTTATTCTTGTAAACAAACGGCGAATGCTGGACAACTTACAGAAACTAAGCAAATCGAACGTGACGAACTTGTTGTTTTACCTGTGAGTTTGACTTCCGGTTGCCATCAGCTTATAGTGGTTCACTCGTCTTTATGCGAAAACTTTAGAACGATTCTAAAACTGATCACTTGAGCATAAAAGAGTTCATCGAAGGAAGCTATTTGTAACAATAACATTGCTGCGAGACCGAGCTGTAGGGGTACTGGGTATCACTCTCAGCCCCATTCCTTCCCTACAAATCAGAAAAAAAAAAAAAAATGTAGGCCCTAGAAGCGTGCACAGTAATACAATGTACAATTTTACTTTTTTGTCATGTCCACAGCAACGCTTGAGACCGTAGACTAAGAGAAGGATACAGACTCCTGGAGAAAAGATACGTCTGAAGAAAATCAGGAGTACACAGGACCCAAAAATTTAGAGGTAGCTAGACATTTTGTGTAACTGGAAGGTTTTGTTATTCGTAGGTTGCTTTATAGCCTTTATCGGAGCGTTGAAAACTCAGTTGAAAAGCATTAGCTTGATCACACCTTGGAGATTCATCAGTGATTTATTTGTTCATTTATGGGTCCAAGAAGATAGTTCGCTCGCTACAAACACGCCAGTTTCTAATTTTGAATGCAACATCGCCAAAAAAAAAATTTATGAATGAAATTCATGATGGCTTCTATCGACCAGTTTTCGAGATTAAAAGCATGCTATTCAAGAAATGAATGAATCCAACAATCACTGTGCGTGAAAATTTGCAAGGTAGTTGGTGTTTTCTGGAAATCGCTTAATTGGCCTTCGTATTGAAGTGACCGAATTCGTCAAGGGAATTTTGATGAGCGAAAAAAAAAGGATATTTCTTCTTCTTCTTCTTAAAACTCCTTCATTATAACAGCAAAGTGGAGATACATCTTCAATCTTCAAACTTTCGTCCGTTAAAGTTGACGCTAGCACTTCTAAACCTCAGAAAAAGCGAGTTTTGCTAAGCCTGATAGGCTAATTTTTGGATCTATTCGCTCCGACGAAGGGCTAACGCTCGAAACGTCAACTTTTGTAATCGTTACGGTGGCCAATTTACCACTTCAACTTTGTTGATATATCCAAATTATTTCGTTACTCCCACCGACGCAGCCCTAAACAGTTTCTTTCGAAACTATCAGCCTTCATTAATTTTGGACCATTTTTCTCAAATTTAGAGCTGGATTATTGAAGACGTCGCGGCGACTTGGTTAAAATACTACATTAAAGAGCTGTCAGAGGAGGGCTAAAAACTTAATTTGAACGCATCAGCTTAATCACATACGTAGCAGACACATTTTTTAAAAAGTTCCCCCCTTGAATGCATTGTTGGGTAAATAATACCAACTCGTACAGAGCAGAAGTTTGCTTTAATTTTTCCGTCCACAGCAGATTGCAACTGAAATTGATCGAAGATGTTTGCGCGTAATTTTCTGGGAAAATCGTGACGCTATTTTGGTTTGCTTCTCAATTGTAACTGAGTTCGTTATATTTCTGATATCTAGTCGATATTCTTCAGTGTGTTTGGACGCGAGTCTTGTTTTTTTAAGAACACAGTAATTCGCCGAGAGGTTTTTTTTTGGTTTATTGCCTTATACACTGGCTTCACTTAAAAGCACTCTAGATCTGTCGCAATAAATACATGCAATTGTTTCAGGTGTGGCCTTGAACTCCCTTAAAAGTGTCAAGTTAATCTTCCAGTCCTCCAGTCTTCCAGTCGATCCGATATCCGTAATGATTTGCCAAACGACGAAAGCTTAATTGATCGAACACAATAGTTTGACTTGAAACAGTGATACATCCTCCAGCATAGCAACGAGGGAAAAATGCGTTGATTATGCCAACAATGTTTACTCAACCCTTTGCATCCCAACATAAAGAATTCGTATTATCCATACTCGATACATTTCCTGAGGTGCTGACGAGGAGAATTTTGTCAACAGTCAAGAAATTCTATAGTTGGTGATCATTTGTTTCATGCTTTTGATCACTATGTGTGATCTAGTGGTGATACTGTTAGTAGGGATTATATGCTAATCTCTTTTAGGGATTGAACGGTTGGTGGAGAGGAGAGCTGGTGCTTAGCCGGGTTAAGTAACAGGTGCCGGAGAGATTTCAGTTTATCAGTTAACCATTGTGCATCAGATAAAAACTGTTTTACTCAGCAAATTATCCCAAGAAGACCTAACAGGTTATAGCCATGCCGAAGGCAACTATCCATTTTGACCCGAGATAGATAGGTGGACCAGTTAATTGTGACCCAAACGATTAAGCTTTCGAATAATCCTCAAGATTACTTTGGAAACCGATTGGAGTCCATTTTGAGAATCATTTAGAGGTCGTTAAAACGAGCTGTTGGACTCGTAATCACAATAAAACTACAATGCTCACAGTACGTATGTTAATAGAGCTTTCAACTCTTCTTATCTTGACCCCTGCATTTAAAACCTGTAAAGGTGACTGTTTGCTTTGTTGAGGGTCGGAGCTTTGAAGTCGCCCTCCCACATAGAACCTTTTCAAAACCTACTGAAACAAGGCATTAATAATGGATGAAACAAGTCCTTAATTCTTTCTTCGTGAGGATTCATCTCTAAGTATCATTTAACTTTGACGCAAACTCTCGTAAACACGCTGTGTTAATGACTCGCTACTTAAAAACTGCCCGATAGTAAGAATCTCTGTGCCATTGACACTTAGCGTTTTATTTTACCGAGGAAACGACTACAAAGTTTTTTCATCCGTCTTCAAAACGATTTTTCAAGTGTGTCCAAAGGCAAAAAGGTGAGTAAAGCAGTCAGTTCATTGGTTGTTTTCGTTTATTTGAGTTTTAGCAGTCAGGTTATATGAGCGAGTTGTACATAGGGAACTTAAATGGTTCAGAGTTGTGAGTTTCGGGCTCAACAGTATGGAGTCAACTGTTGTGGAAGTCAAGCTGGTCGGAAAATTTGCAAGCCTGGCATGGTTGTAGCAGAATATATTGACCTCTTAGTAGAATTTTATGTTAAGCTTGCTTACGTTTTGCTTAGAAGCGGTTTATTGCTTTGGCTGTTTTGTTTGCCGGTTGCGTGGCTACCATTTAAAACAGCTAACAGATGTATTAAGTCAGTAGCCATGTTCAGGTTTCCTTTTAGCGGGAGTAGCGCCACAGCTCAGTGATATGTCTTTTTTTATCTCTCGTTTGTTTTCATCAACAATCAAACCACCTCAAAATCAACGCAAATTATTATTGAGCATGTTGATACAACTTGTGGGAGATCTGGGTACGAAACTAGTCAGCAGGCTGATCTTTCGGTTCAGTGACACTCCGGCCTTTAATCTGTGCTAGATTCGACCCGTTCACTATTTGTTTTTGTTCCAAGCCCAAAACGGTGCCCTACACACCTACACAGACCAATTGAGAAGCAACGTTTTACTGCGGATGACTGAAGAACGAAATCCCCAATTTTTCGTTTTATCTCTGCAAAGTTGTGAATTTTAACTGTTAATTATCTGAAGCGATTTAAAAATCAGCAGCAGTAGAAGAAGTAAGTAGAATGTTTGTTTTTTTTTTTTTCTTCAATCTATAACCTTATCGTAATGGTTCAAAAAACATTTTGTGCCAGCATTCGTTAAGGCACCAAAGCCCATTTTACTTGTAAGGTAGGCTACGATGAAACCCGACAGGAATAACCTGGATTAAGTTCCTCTCGGTTCGCTAACGCAATTCAGTCCATCTGCCTTATTTCCTCCTTTGATATGAAAAACGTTTTCAGAAGTGAATCTTTGGTTTTTTTTAAGATCTGTGGCTTGGCATCTGAAATACAATAAGAACTAGTTTGTAAGCTTAAAACTACCAAAAATTGATTTTGAATGGTAAATTTTCAATTCAGACTCTGATGAAATGTAAACAGCGGAACAGTTGAAATTAAAACTTGCAAATTTTCAAGGGAGAAATTGCCTAGGGCGAATAATTAGGTGTTTTCATGTCGGCATCAAATGGAAACTTTTTTCCCGGCTCAATTGTCGTATATTGGTCTATTATTAAATCTGATAACTATTATAATAAAAGTTTCAAATTTTCTTTAACTAATCGTGCGAATAAAAGTATCAGTTGGCGACGGTAACTGGACTTTTACAAACTTGCCGCAATGCAAGAAGTATCGGAACGAGATTTTAAAAGTTCAGAATAATCGTTCTATATTGGATGCAAAGCCTTCCTGGGAAATTGTATTGAAGTTCCACACTTGTAGGTTTGTTTCATCGCACTTTGTAATAATCGTGGCGCTTTGTGATAAAATTGTCGCACTTTGAAATACATGCCACACTTTTTGATCAAACAATCGCATTTTGTAATAACACTTGTCACCCATTGTAATTAACTTGGTGCAGATGGTCGTGGGCATGTGGAACCGATGATAGCTATCATTTCTGTCAATAATCAGTGATGGTGTTGATAATATTAATAATTATGAGAATTATTATAATAATGAAAGTGATAATAATAGTAATAGTGAAAGTCATGTTGGTAATGAAGAGCAAGAAAATGTTGATAATATTGAGAGATGATATATTCAGTGAGTGACACAGGCATACCCGGAGAAAAAGAAACTCCGAGTGCTCTCAAAACGAGTCGAACCTAAGACCTTCCGATTAGTACTTCGGAAGCTCTACCACTGAGCTATAAGAAACTCGTGGCAGGCTAGGTCGCTGTACTTAGTCCACGGTGAAAAACTTCCTGTCTACTGCTAGGATAGCAATATCGAATGTGATGCTTTTGCGAAATGCTGATGTTAATGAAGATGGTAGGTTCATTTTAAACTTGGTCCAGTTTCCAATTACGTTAAGGCAAGGCGTATACTTTGTGTGGGGTTCTTGTAACAAAAGTTTCACTTGCATGAGTTCTTTGATGAAGACTGCAGCTGGAGGTGGTTTGAGATTCTCCCTTAAGTCTCACTGAACAATTAATATGCTAACTACGGCTTAATAAATGGATCACAGAAGCTGAGTTGGTGCCGCATTTAAACAGGTTTCTTCCAGTTAGGAAACATAAATTGTTCTACAATTTTCCATTACGTGTAATCTCTTCATTTGAAGTATTTAGATATCGATTTAAGTGCAATTTAGCAGTTTATTGGCGATCTATTCTTCACCGCAGATGTTCTTACTTGCAAATCAAATCAAATCAAATCAGTAAAATACTTATAAAGGGTCAGTCTATGTAAAGATTTTTTTTAGGTAAAGAAAAGATAAACTGGCCCGCACGTAGTTGAACGTCACTAGCTAGCACCAACAGAGTACGTTATTTTCCGCAGGAAAGGAGGAATTTTCTTTTAAGTATGAAAAACTACAAGTTTCTCCAAATTAATTGATAATCTTGCGACACATGATATACTTACAGTGAACGAAAATTTAACGATTCTTTTTGTTAGATTATGAAAATGATACATGATTTGAATATCATCGTCATCATTATTGCTATTCCCATTATTAATATAATTGTTGTTATTATCAGTATTTTTATTATCAGCAACATAGCTATTTGTATGTGCAGTTACGTAAGCGAGTCGGACGTGAGCGCCTTTTATACTGTATACACGCATCACAGCACATGATTCCGGCTTTCAGAGACTATTATTTTAAGAAGAACGTGCACAGGGCACAGGTTATAAAGTCCTTGAATGTTGCGGCAAGAAAAATTTTCTGAGATCTTATCTAAGGTAGGCACTAATTAAACGCTCGTCAAAGATTTACACTTTGACTTTCCCTTTGATTATTACAGCGGAAGTAGGTGTATTAAGCACGCCCGCCATCGCTGTCAATCCGACTGAATCACACTATTGATTACTGAGCGGGCCGGCTTACTTACCAGGTTATGAGATTTTTAGAGGTAACTGTTTTGCATCAAAAATGGTTCCCAAAACATTGAAGAGCAAGAATGCTCCTTAATTAGCAAATGACGCTTTTTAAGAATGTTCATATTCGGGTTTTTCCTTCGACACGGGGTTTAGAACCCCTTAGGTCTTCGCTGAAGCGTTGGCTTTTAGTTGCAGAACCACAAACGATGACATCTTAAAACTTTTTCAAATATTAGGCTTCATACATTTTACCTGAGCGAACGACGAACCATTTCAAACTGGACTCTTTCCTGTAATGTTATCTGATTTGGATCTTTTTTGTTTTTGATTGCGTAACATTAGTAATGATTGTGGTACAGAGAAAAATCCGTTTATGATAGCATAAATTAGACAAGGCTCGTCAGAAGTTGATGTTCATTCTTACTTGCAAATGAGAATCTTTTTCCTGTTTAATCAGGACCACAGTGCCTTTCACTGTTTGATTATTGAGTCATGAGGATAAACCTGAAAATAAATCCCAAAGAAGGGATAGGAAACTCATTGGAGCGCTAATTCATTTGCATGTTAATCTGGAATGGAAGTCCTATAGCCCAGGTTTTGGGCAAGGTGTTTAGACGTGGGCATCAACGTTGGCTCCTTAAGTTTTTTCAGGACATGCAGCCAGCTGCTCTTTGTAAATGCTCGGTCTTCATTTTAATGTTTCGTTTTCAACCATACTTACGTCTTAACCGTTTGAAAGTTAGTGGCCCTCGGTCACGCTTTTTAATACACGTGTAGTCTTTTGCGTTTTTCGCTTACCTATGCTCGTGAAACACTGCTAATAATGGTGACTAAAACAATGATGTTGCTGATGGTGATATTGTTGGAAATTAGAATAGGAAATAAGTTCGCCACTGATAGAGATCTTCTCTGACTAACTACCAAAGATTGCATCAGCATTTTGTTTTCGTTTGGCGTGCCCAGGTTGCGAAAACTGATGATGTATTTAAGTGTTCCAAATTGGCAGAAAAGATTAAGATTTTGGGCCATTAAAGCTTTTAATTTTACACGGGTGTAGGTCTCAGGTTGAAAATGGATTAATTTTATGTATTAAGTCAACCTTTCATTGGTAACTAAAGTATACCCACTCTGGCTTGTTTGAAGGTTGTAATGTACACTTTAGGAAAATGGGTTAAAAAAATCCATCTCAATTAGCGAACTCTATAGTGCTGAACTCCGATTATTGTTTCGGGTGCTATCTCCAATAAATGCGAAAATGACACCAGATTTTCGTCGACGCATTAATATTTTAGTTGAGTTTAAAAGCGTTCAACATGTTTAGCTCGTGTTTTCTCCAGAACTGCTAAATGCAGGCTGCGCGTGATGATAATCGCGTCTCTAATTGACAACCCATTTACGAGGCTTTTGTGCCATTTTTTTCTTAAGAAACATTGGCGGACACAAGTCTTGTCTGCTATCAAAAGACGATTCATTCAATTCAATTGTACCCAAATCGTTTTTGGTTTTATTTCTATCAAATACAACATTGATGAAAAGCTCTACCATCAACAATTTCCAGTTTTCTAGAGTTATCAGTAAAAGGACCAATCCTACCTCTCTGATTTAATAAAATACACATGTTTAGTTTTTTTGAATCGGAAACACTAATCTGACCACTAATATCGCTGGATCAGATGTGCTGCCATGGTTTTGACTGAAATAGAGACATACGTCGGATCATTTCAGCCATGTAAACAGATAGAGATGTAGATGTAGCGGAAATGGAAGAAATTATTCGCCAAGTCCTTTCGATTTCCATACAGTATGTTATTTGCTAATCTACCCGGCAAAGATAAAAAACTTCTCGCAACAGAACAGACAAGAGAAATAAACGAAACATCTTTAAATCCAGACCAACTTTAAGATATACAAAGGCGTGCTGTGATAATGAAATAATCCTTCGCTCTTTATTTACAGCGCTTACATCTTGCAGCTGGCTCTATGTATGTAAATTCTTGGTTTGATGTAAGTTGTCTTTATACGTATTTACTTGGCCTTTGAGTTTTTGTTCAAGATAATTTATTTCGTTAAACCGCCCGTGGGTAAAAGTCGCCAACAAACTGGGCATCGACCGCAAGTCAAATAAATATTCGTGGAGAAATCCCCAAGAGCTCTGTTCAATCAAACAAGACATTTTCATCATCTTGCAAATGTAGGTAGACAACCCGTGATAAAACTTGTGTTTTTTCTGCTTTTAGTTAATAATTCAGTGAAGGAAGTCATGTTATAAAACAGATAAAGCGTTGTACATTTTCAGCAAAAATTACTGTAGCTAACAGATGCTGTATTGAGGCGTCGCTCCGTTATCAGAGGAGCCTCAGGTGCAATGTTTCGTTTCTGTTAGGAGACTTGATCTTATCTCGGTGTAACGAATAGAATGTTTGCGAGTATCAGAACATTTAGCGGATCAAAACTGCACAGAGACCAAAGCTAGATTGAAATAGTTCTTATGGCGTCTGTACTTTTTGGAGACTGAACATTTAAAGAAGTAAATCTTAATGACGAAGAACTACCTCCCGTAGAATGAAATGCGTTGTGATTGCATTTGTATTAAAAAGGAATCTGAAAAAGAATTCCGGAAAGTTCTTAATTCATTGTATGCACCAGAGGAAAAACTGCGCGGTCGAAGCATACACAATCACAAGTAGGTTGAGTGAGTGTGGTGGTTCTGATACCTTTTTTTGTAATTGTAGACGGGAGTGCATTTCAGGTTGTTACTACGCTGAAAAATGATGTGCTACAGTACTCAGCCAGCACTTTCAGTTATCTTGATGTAGGAATGCACGCACTCTTCAATGAGAATAACAGTTAAAAGATTACTGACAGTTCAATTTTTTCTCCTTTACCAAGCAGAAAAGGTGTAACCTGTTAACATCATAGTTGTTATCATATCCTGTCCTCCGATGAAGATACAAATCCATTTTGATTAAGCCTTTGAAACTTCCTGTAATAAGTTCACATTACTGCTTTCCAATTATTACAGCAAATGGAAAACACGATTTATTTCCTCTTATCTTAATCGCCTCGAGACCTGTTCCAATATTTCCAAATTTGGTTCAATTCTAGTTGCAGTTTAAAGTTTTTGAGACGAGTCCTTAACGATTAAGTCTTGTTTTTAAAAAGTTTAGAATATAAGAAATAACCTATTCAGGTAAAGAATAGCGTTGAGCTGCCACACAATCTTACTGAAGCCGGTCATATTTTTATGACTAGGAGTGCCGATGAAACAAACTGCTCACAGCTGCACGAAACATTCTTTCCTCCAAAGATTTGAGCAGTAATTCGAACTCCGGTGCAAAACTGAAATCGTGTTGGCTTCTCTTCAACTAAAATCACCCGTTCGTAGCTGCAAAGTGCAATTTTCTTACGATCCTGCCTTTCCAGGTAGTTTTGGCTATGTCCTTTTTTTTACAAATGTCTTCCAAATATTTTGCCGATAGTAAGACAAAATAGTTCTGAATTAACAAACGAAGATTTTGCCTCTCGAACTTTGCACTTTCCGTGTGGTATATTTTTTAAACTTTGCACGATGTAGTGAAATTTGAACTGACCAAAATGAAGTTGGCGTCAACTGATGACAAAACAATAATATTTGCTGTATTCAACTCATTGGACCAACTGAGCATAGTTGTATGGTTCTTACAGCTATTTCAGTCATTATTTTCTAGAGATTTGTTCAAACACACAACATTTTCACTCTTTGTGGCTTCAGCAAACCATACAAATCAAGACTGAACTGAAAGGCACAGAAATATCTATCTTGTCTTATCGCTTTTCAGGCTTAGAAAAGATGGCGGATGGCGTGTACACTTTTTTTGCTATTTTGGCCACATTCATTGGAGGAAGCGGTGTGATTCTCAATTTTCTCGTGTGTTTGACATATTTCGCAACTCCAAAGCTTTTAAATGCTTCTAACATCTTTTTGCTCAACATGGCGGTTGGAGACTTCATTTACTCACTCGTGGCCCTTCCTCTCCTGGTTGCCTCCAACGTTCGAGGCAAATGGGCATTTGGAGAAGCAGGTTGTACCGCTTACGCCTTCATCACTTTTTTTTGTGCACTTGGCAGCATGATGCTACTAGCAGTTGCTGCTTACGAGCGTTACTTCACACTATGCAGGTTGTACAGTGACGGTCAAATTCAGTTCAGTAAGAAAAAAGCAATCATTCTGTGCGTATTGATGTGGTGCTATGCTCTGCTCTGGAGCCTGATGCCTGTGCTTGGTTGGTCCAGATACATCCTAGAGGGTATTGGTACCAGCTGCTCAGTAGACTGGACTTCAAGAAAGCCAAGTGATGTGTGGTACACCATCCTTTTGATCCTAGGGTGCTTTGTGCTTCCGGTTGCCATCATTGTCTACAGTTACATCAAGACTTTTAGAGCTTTGAGAAAGTTAAGCCAACAAGCGTTGCAGAATTGGGGAGAAAATAACCGTGTCACCCAACAAACCCTCAAAGCAGAACGTAAAATGATGTGGGTAATAGTCGCCATAACAGCTGGATACCTCTTTGCCTGGACGCCGTATGCTCTGGCTTCAGTGGTGGCCATTGTAAACCCAAATCGTATCAGCCCCATTGGGGCCACGATTCCAGCCTACATGGCCAAATCTTCAGCTTGCTACAATCCAACCATTTACGTTTTCATGTATAGGAAGATGCGAAGCAGATTGTATGAAATTCTTTGCTGTAAGAAGTCTCAAGTTCACCCAGACGCGCCAAGTGCTTCTGAAATTGCAAGCGTTCGCCAAAGTGCACCGGCTACACTTGCGGGAGGACGACGAACTTCATCTGGTGATAAATTTGTAGATTCATCCAACACAGCTTGAATCACTGGCGGATCATGAGAGGGTAAGGGGTGGGGGTGGGATTTGGGAAAGGCGTCATTTCTACTTATAGACTCTAGCTTTTGTCACTTAGGGATCATTGTTTACCGCCTGGGAGAAAGAGAAACGGGGGGGGAGCGCGGAAAAAACAGAGGATAAAATTCACTGATCCCCTCATAAGTCCGTGTTATTGTTATGATCCCCCCTCATAAGCAGTTAATTGACAGTTCTTTTAAAATATTCCCCATTTTATGCTCTGTTAGCAATGAGTTTTCTCCCTCTGTACCCCCCTAAAACATGTGCTAGATATGTGATTCCCCCACAAACCCCACCCAAGGTGATAAATAAGGACTGTTCCCCAAATGAGATCAAGGAATGTCAGGAAAAAGAGTTCAATCTCATTTCGGGATCTTTTATCGTAAACTTCAACTGACACAACGTCACGCCCATGAGGCGTTTTCTAGATTTCCGGAGTTCTGATAGAACTCAACTGAAAATTTCGAGTGTAACCTGACTCTTCCATGTCGGTTGGTCTCAAGAAACTTAAGGGAGATAAGGACAACTCATAGACGCACGCAACAAAGTCAACGACGAGAGGAAGGTGCGGTACTCAGTAAAAATGCCAGCAGGGGAGTCACAAGAATGGTACAGAGCCTTATGAGGGATCAGGTAATTTTACCATAACACGACCAAAATCCTCCGGACGGACCCTCCCTGGGCGAGAAATATTGAGCAGTCCCTTAGGAAATGTAACATATTTATAATCATAAAAAAGATCCTAACTTAAACAAAAACAACAACAACAACAAAAAAAATACCAAGACAAATTTTCCTTTCACATTAACCAACTTATTAGTAAACTGATGTGTTGTGAGCGTTTACTAAAGGAGCAGAAGAATACTGCTCAGAAAAATAAAACGGGTAAAGTGGGATGAAAATTATCGAACTTACTTCAATTTCAATTACTTTAATGTTATTGCCTTAAAAAAGATCCCTTGTAAAATCATTTTGCCTCTTCTGGTACTCTTCTGATACTCTAAGATATCAAGTTTATCAAAAAATATAATTAGAGGAGCATGTTTTTTTTTCTGTGCAAGGAAATTGTATGTTTTTTGAATAAAGTTCTTTAAATATCTTTCAGTGACTATAACTATGCATACTAGAAATCAATGAGCAACCACTAGTTTATATTCTTTGACAATGTAAATCCCAAATTTGGGTCACTTCAATGACACTCTACCTTAAACTATAGTATAATTTAGCTCTGAAATTAGCGCTGCATTCATATTTGCTGTTACAAAGTAAACGTTCCTTATACCCTTCCCTTTTAATGTAACCATAGTTTCCAAATTTATAATCGTTAAAACTTGAAATGTTTGAGTGACCAAGTCCAAACAATACCATGTGGATAGCTCCAAAACATGACTGAAGACATCTCATATTTTCTGTCTGAATCTAAGAATTGAACAAATTCAAATGGATTTGACTAGCAGGACTCTCACAAATGGCCTTTTCTTATTTGAACTATTCTGCAATTTCAGTTGCTGCCTAGAAAAGAGTTACCAATAAGAAGAAATTATCCTGAGAGATATGACCCACCCCCTAATTTTTAAAGTAGTTAAAAAAAAAGTGCACCACTTCTTAGGCCACACAAATGAAACTGCTCTTTGCATGGCTTCTCAGCCAGTCACTGTGTCCTAATGCACCTGTAACATTTGACACAAAGTTACTTTGAACAAGACCTGATGTGTAGCTTTCCATAAAACGAAATGAGGTACAGGGGTTATGCAAAACAAGCTTTTGTGATAATATTTGGGTAAACAGGGTAGAAGAAAGTCTCAAATCCTCAGCAGAGTCTTTGCGAGTTTTCAGCTCATTCACATTGACTTTGTTTCTCGAATCCTGCACAGCATTGTTTAATACAAATTCTAAGGGTTTCCAATTGCAAGAAAGTGGAGAACAGCATTCATTTCCCTGCAATCCTTGTTGGGTCTTGATGGTCATAGCTTGTTGTACCGGAGTCTCAGAATGGTTGTGCTGCATTTGAAATCTCTTTGAAACCACCAAAGGTACTTCTGTTCTTCGCCTGGGCATTTCTGGTGGGTGATGAAACCGGCAGGCAGATTCTGTGGTTAAACAGACTGGTGTCTGCACAGGGGGGGTGAAGTTGTCAGAAGTGTTATTACTGTGGTGACAATGACAACTGGTGAAGGAAGTGACAGACAGCGCCAAAGACAAACTGAACACATAGGCCAAGGTACATGCACTAAACACCTAGAGAATAAATAAAAGAAAAGCTGGGACCAACCTGTTAAAAGTTGAATCCTTTACAACCTACCTGTATGATCAGTATGCACATTCTCCATACTGTTCTCCATACATTTCCCAAGGTGCTGACAAGTAGAATTTGTTTAACAATCAAGAGCTTCTTTAGTTGGTGATCATTTCCTTTATTCTTGTAACCTTAAATGTTTGATTCAGGGGTGACATTGTAAGGAGAAATTAGACGCTAGTCACTCAAGGGGTCTGTGGGTTAAAGTGGGGGAAAAGTTACTTCAGAATGGTTGAAAGAAGTATTAAATAGATATTCTACAGCAGTTATTTCTAATCTGCCACGAAAACATTCTATGTAGACTGCCATATAAAACTGTCAGTCCTCAAAATCTAAGTACTGTTAACACCCTTCAAAAATGACATACCTTCAAAATTTCAAGTCTCAAAAGACTCAAAGTACCAAGAAACCTGGTGTTATCCAGCAACGTGCACAAGTCACCGTATGTGAACCAACCACGGCAAAGTCCATGTGTTGTTGCAATTCTGCACAAGAGGTAAAGAATTATAACCTATTTTGTAAGTGCAAGTTTTAAAAGTCCATCAAGAATTAATTAAATGTTCAAAATTCTACTTTAACCTTAAAAAAAATACATTTCAATTTCTTGTACCTGGACTCCACTTTATTGACAAAATCCAAAAATTCTTGATTACTGACAAAAAGGCTCCAGTCCTGACAACGAAGAACACATTCATCACCAAACACATTTAAGTTTTTGAGAGAATGCAGATGCTGTTTCCAATCTGTCTATTAGTTTGGTTGTGTTGCACTGTGAAACATGCATACCCTAAATATTGCCATCAAATGAAACAAAAAAAAAACAAAAACAAAAAAAAACAAAAAAACACAAACAAAAAAGAAAACACAAGAATATAACTTGAAATACTGCTTTAACTTACAATAGACGCCAAAAATTCCATTTCAAGCTTGTTTACATCATTCACAGTTTTGTTTCCTGAAGGAAAAAATCAAACATGATTGAATTCTGACTATCCCCCAAACAAAATTTCCATCGATCTGAAACTGGTAAAAAGTTATTTTTTCTCGAACAAATTCTGTTTGCTTCATAGCCCAACATTAAACTATGAAAAACAATACTGACCACAATTGGCAGTAAAGTCACAATCTGATCGGCAAATTTGCTCCCGTGCTTCATGATTCCAAAACTAATTTTGACCACTGTGATGACAAATATCGTTGTCACTAAGAGTACAGACCACACTTAAACCACTGTCAATTTGTTGAATTTATAGATTACCTGCTCTGGCCCAATCATCATTAAACACTTCCTCTTCCTCTCCTTCATCATACAAATACTTGGACGCCACCATCTATAAAACATGAAAATAGTATTTTAATATTTAACTTACAGCACATGCCATAAATAAGTAGAAATGGGGCTTCCCCGTGTCAACTTTAGAAACTCTTTGTGATGGCTAATTTATATCACCAACTCAGTTAATAAAACTATTTATTTACACGACTCGGGCAGTCAGAGGGCCAATAAATAAAATCAACCAATCAAAATGCTCTATTGCTGGTCCAATATTCTCCAAGTATTGGACCGGGCACTGTCCCGAATGATACCGCACTTGTGTCCCTTCGAACTTCAGTTGTATGATAAATCTCTTATTAACCAAGCTTGCTCGGGACGGTACTAGAAGAATATCGGCCCTCGGTCCATACTGTCAAGACCTCAGGCCGATATTCTCCCAGTACGGCCCTTGCGCTTGGTTAATAAGATATATATATTGTCTACACCTCACTAACCACTGATATCAGGAACAAGTCAGACGATGACACTCGTGCAAGATACTCAGGGTTCTTCTGACGTAATCTCTCAGAGTAAAGAATCCCCATCATCAATGTACAGGGAGATATCTTGGCTCTCCTAATTAAAAAAATAAGGTTTCCAGGTGTCAGTGATGTATACTAAATGGTTTTTCTAAATACATAGCAACTCCTTCCTAGCACACAAATAAACATGCGTGAAGCCTTACATGTACAGTTGTAGTTCCTCGTGCATGTTGACACCCAGAGATTCGTGACAGTGAATTTTCACCCATATAGCAATCCAACAACTAACTTCACTTTTTCACTAATGTACAGTTACATATAGCTTAATTATATCACTTTGCCCCTGGCTTTTAATTTTTTGTTCTTCAGGGGAGGAAAGTTGGGCTCTTAATAGGGGAGAACTTATTGCAAACTTGACACTCTAGACAAAAAAAGCCTAGTTTAAGAGGGGAGGAGAGGGCTTCATACAGCATTTATAGTAAATGTATACGAAACTTACCGTGAGACCACCATAGCATAGCTTGTATCCAAACACTTTCTGTCTGTGGGTGCAACAGAACCTAGAACCTCCACTGCAACATCTGCAGGTGAATATTTTAAGAGATTACAAATGGTAATGCCGTAATTTCTTCCCTGTTCTAAGTATGCCACCGTTATCCTTAAACAGCCTTGAGATCTTCATAAACTAAATGTAGTTTAAAATCGTGTTTGAGTACAACAATCGATCATAATAGCCTCTTGATAATGGTGGTTAGGCAGCAAAATTAAATACACTCGTGAGCACATCAGGTGCTGCCTACATCTCCTCGTGTACATTATTCACAGAAATAAAAATGGCTCTTATTGGAATTATAAGGAGGGAAGAAATACAACCCATGCTAAATTCAGCCTTATTTTCATTGGCGTAGGTGTTACAATTTCATTAACAACACATATATGCACATTTCTGAAAATCATACGGGAAAGCCACTGCTCGCATCATCACCACATATTCCCTACCGATTAATTTATTTCAAGGCAGAAAGTACTAGTCGTGACGTTAGAAGAGTAGCTTGATACCTGTAACTGCCAGAGATGGAAGCGATCTGTCCGAGTATTGGCCATAGTAAAGGGTTTTACGAACACGATCTCTGAATTCAACGTGACTGCTCGATTGCGTAGCACCTCTTTCCTGAAAATTAAGGGTCATCAGCCATATTTTCCCTCGATCTTCTTCGATTTTAGATAAAATCACGTGCTATTCATAATTTAGTTTACCTCCTGATCTCCTCTGTCCATTCCAGTATCCTTTTGCAGTAAAATTAAAAGCCAAAATATGAAAATAAATTGCCACTCCTTGCTCGATCGAACGCAAGCGATGCTCTATCGCCTGGTGCCCAAGCAACATCGATCTGACCTTTGCAACCGAGAGAAGCTGGAAATAGTTCATAAAAACAGCTGGGGCCGAGGCAGATCAGGACATGATCTGGTACGACGTTCGTTGGTTCGTGTAACCCATGGTGAATGCGTGTCGATCTTCAACTGATGTATCTACTCCAAATACTGTGGGAAAAAGGTAAGTGAAAGAATTTTCAGTGCTTATACCAGATATCTGGTCGCTCAACCTTGCTTCCTTTCCTCTTCTGTTCTCAATGTAAATCACGCACTGAAAACCCCGATGTCACTGCAAGAGGCTGTGACATCGAACAAGTGCAGCGCTCTACCAGTAGTAGAGAGCGCTGCACTAGTATCGCAGAGGTCAGTGGTTCGAATCCCGTACAGGCCTGATTTTTTTCAGGTCTGATTTACGCTATTGCATAAATAGCGCTCTCCACTGCGAGGATCGTACATCATACGTAAACTGATAACCTAGCGAAACAAAACTACGGCTCGGAGTTACGCCATAAGACCCTTGCTTCGCTAAAACCTGAAATCTCTCTAGCTCTTGGATCTCCCCTTGATGAGTAACGTAGCATCGAAGATACCAAAGCCATGCGTATCTGCAGTACCACGCCAAGGCGCCACTCTAACAGTGGTCTAAGCCACCCTCGTAGACATCTCTTCTTGTCCTGCATCCTCTGCAAAACTGCCGGTCGCCCACATAACACCCACAACCTGATGGATTGTCGTTTTCTACCACACCGGGACTCGACAACGGGCTCGGTCACGCATGGTGACAGATGACCGCGACGACCTCGATACTGAGATCTGCGAGCCCTTGGATGAGAGCAGCGACCTTGTAGTCCCACCAGTCCATGGTGAAGAACCAACAGCCCTTCGTGTCGGCATAGTCCAGTCCCCTGTACTTAACACCTTCTATCATGAACACCCAGTGCAGCTGACCCTCGACACCGGTACAACCTCCAACATGATCCACGCCTCCTCTGCCAAGCTCTATGGTTTCCCCATAACCACGGCCTCCCAAATGGCTCGTCAGGCTGATGGCGTTACCCCAATGGATGTTATTGGCGAAGTTCACTGCTCCCTAACCCGTGGACAGCTAACATTTCAATTAGACGCCCTTGTCGTCCGCCAGCTAGACGTTGATATCCTAGCCGGTAATCCCTTTATGATCCGCAAAGACATTGGTGTTCGCCTCGCCAAACGTCAGATTGAGATAGCTGGCACCGAGATTATCAGTTACAGCTCCCCTTCTAGGCATACACGTCAACCCAACGTGCGCCGTACACAATCCTTCCTACTACGCAACCCAAACCGCACTGTCGGTCTACCAGGGGAATATGTCCATTTCAGTGCCCCTTCTGACTCTGACTCCGACACCTCGTGGGCCCTTGAGCCCCAGGCTGGACAGCCCTTCTAACATGCCACGCAAACCAGAAGAGGCGTGGCCTCCGCTGCAGCAAATTTAATCTGTGGATCATGCCGTACGCGTCTCCAACACGACCGGCTCCCCCCATTCTCCTGAAGAGTGGTGAGCAGCTTTGCCTGCTTCGGCAAATTCTACCCGTCGAATCGTCCACCTCACCTCCCTCCACGTGTAGTGCTGTCTCTCCTTCACCAGCCACCTGCAAGCCCTTTTCACCCCGTGTGATCCTTGATCCTGATGGGTGCCTAGATGAGGTCACTCGTGACAAATTCACAGCTCTCAACCTGGAGTTTGATGACGTGTTCAACCTCTCCATCTCTAAATAGAATGGTGCAAGTGGAAAAATTGAGGCTGTTGTCAACATTTGCCCCACCCTTCCTCCCCAGCGGAAAGGCAGGCTCCCACAGGACAATAGGAACACCCTCGAAGAGTTACAAAACAAGTTAGATGAGCTCGAAGCTGCCGGTGTCTTCGCTAAGCCCGAGCAAGTCAATGTCCATGTGGAGTACCTGAACACCTCGTTTCTCGTAAAGAAGCGCAATGGCGGTAGCAGACTTGTGACATCCTTTAGAGAAGTTCCCCAGTACAGCAAGCCTCAACTCTCCTTGATGCCTAATGTTGACAACGTACTGCATGAAATAGGGAAGTGGAAGTACATTGTTATAACTGATTTGCTGAAGTCTTTCTATCAGATTCCTCTGGCCAATTCATCTATGAAATACTGTGGAATTGCTACCCCATTTAAGGCATTCGTGTTTACACTCGTTCTCCCATGGGCATGCCTGGGTCCGAAACTTGCCTTGAGGAGCTGATGTCGCGAGTTCTGGGAGACCTCATTCAAGAGGACTGTGTTGCCAAAATCGCCGACGACCTGTACGTTGGGGGAAAAAGCCCTATTGAAGTCTTCGACAATTGGAGAAGAGTTCTTGCCCTACTCCAAAAGAACAATCTTCGCTTATCTGCAGCCAAAACTATCATCTACCCAAGAAAGGTCATCATACTGGGCTGGATGTGGTCTAATGGTACCCTACAAGCTAGCCCCCACAGATTTGCTGCACTATCCTCAGTCGAGCCTCCCTCAACAGTACAAGGCCTTCGATCCTTCGTCGGGGGTTACAAAGTTCTAAGTCGCGTGCTCCCAAGATTTGCGGAGCTGCTTGATCCCCTGGACCAAGCCACTGCATGTAAAGAATCCAGAGAAAAACTGTTTGGTGCGATGAATTGATACTGGCCTTCAAAACCGCCCAACGTGCATTGGCTAACAACCGGACCATCACAATTTCCCAGCCTCAAGATACCTTATGGATAGTGACCGACGGCTCCGTCAAGAATAGAGGCATCGCAGCCATACTATATTTACACCGAAATGGGTCACTGCTCTTAGCAGGATTCTTCAGTGCCAAGCTTCGTAAGCATCACGTGACTTGGTTGCCTTGTGAGATTGAAGCCCAGGCTATTGGTGAGGCAATTGGACATTTTGCCCCTATATCATTCAATCTCCACACGCAACCGAGGTACTCACCGACAGCAGTCCCTGCGTTCAAGCTTACGAAAAGCTCAAGAGAGGAGTATTCTTAGCCAGTTCAAGAGTCACCACCTTCCTGTCAACAGTCAGCCGCTATTCTGTTCACATCCGTCATATCGTCGGAGTTGAGAATCTACCCTCCGACTATCCAAGCCGAAACCCAAAGGAATGTTCGGACTCTAGTTGCCAGATTTGCAAATTCATCATCGAATTCGAAGACTCTGTTGTTCGCAGCCTCTCTGTTAGTGATGTCCTTTAAGGCTCTGTCAAGATGCCCTTCACTAGCCGTGCTGCCTGGCAGACTACCCAGCTGGAGTGCCCTCACCTCCGGAGAACACACTCTCACCTTAGCCAAGGTACCCGACCCTATAAGAAAGCCACCAAGATTATTGATGTGAAATGCTACCTCAAAGATGTTGTGGTTGCCGCAGACGGCCTTCTTGTTGTGCGCGACCATCAAGCCTTCCAACCCCCACGTGAGCGCCTAGTTGTACCTCGCTCAGTGTTAGACAGCCTATTAACAGCTCTCCACATCAGGTTTAGTCACCCATCAAAGTACCAAACAAAGCGTCTCTTCACCCGATACTTCTTCGCTTTAGATGTTTACAAAGCCATTGACCTTGTATCGTCCTCTTGCCACATCTGTGAATCTGTGAAATCCATCCCTAAACACTTCCAGCCCCAGTCAAGCGAAGAACCCCCTCAGACCATTGGCGTTTCATTCGCTGCTGATGTTGCCCGACGCCACCGACAATTAATCCTCGTGCTAAGAGAGACTGTCTCCTCCTACACTTAAACCACCCTTATCAAGAGCGAGAAACGTGAGGATCTCCGCAACACCCTCATGATCTTATGTTCCCAGCTACGTCCCTCGCACGATGGTGGTGCAACAATCCGGGTTGATCCTGCTCCTGTGTTTAGTGCACTTACCACCGACCCAATTCTCCTGGTGACGAGAAAAACAATGATAAATGAGTAGAATAAAAGCGTTCGTTGATACCATTGGGAGTGCCGATGGAAAGATAAACTTTTGTCCAAGAGTTTTACGGCTTTCCGTGCTACCTAAGAGTAAGGAAAGACCGCAGATTGCCATATATTGCTTAGAATCATTAGGTAGATTAAAATGTCAAGCGACTGGTTTCGATGTGTCCTTGTCATTCCTTTCCGTGACGTCGCGAAGGTGTTCTCGGAATCGGGATCGGGATTGGCCGGTATAAACCGTCGGGATTACAGGATTGAGAGAACATTTTGGTCGAGATCGGATTGAAGACTCCTATTCGGGTACCCTCGATGAGGGTTTTTATTTTTCGGCTTCTCAGGAGTGGGGGCAATTTATTTATTTTTGCTCTGTCATAAAAAAGGGGGGCGAGAATGAAGGTCATTTGAGACCCGGACTTACTCTAATACTTGTGGGCAGTTATCGGTGAAAGAACTATTCACATTGTAAGACAGCCATAGCTGTTCAGCTTGCTTTAAAAACTCGTCCTTCCTTCTCCCTCTTGAAGAACTTAAAGTACCCGATCGAACATTAGTTATGCAGCGTTGGAAACTCTTAACGGTGGGTAATTAACATTGAAAACTCAGATGATAACACCAGATTATCTTGGATACCCTCCACCGAGGTAGCGCCACAGTCTCATTAGAAACTTACCTCTATATCTTTATCTTATCTTCTCCTTCCCTGTCAGACGGATGGGCTCGTGAATCGTTGTTCTCCCACCTTTCGTTAGGGTTACCAAGTTCTTTAGTATTTCTAATTAGCTCAACTGGGAGAACAACTTCAAATTTCCTGAAATATTGACCCTTAAACTTCGCCTGTGTATAGTGACTCTACTCCGGAAAAGCGTGTGTACTTTGACGATATGATTTTGAAGTACTTAAAGACACTTGTAACTCTAAATTTTCCATTTTGTTGGCCTACGTGATCGGTTCAATATATCACATCGATTAATTTTACCAGTAATGGATTTGAACACATTACAAATCTTTTAACAGCAGTTTTACGCATGTTACGCTTTAACTCTCACTTGCATTTGAATTCTTTGGCATTGCTTTTTTTTCATAATTCAGTGCGAGAGAATTAACACTAGTACTTCAATAAGGATTAGGTGACCTTATTTCTGCCAACTCTAATTCAAAAGCCAAGGACCTAAAAAAGTAAGAGTTGACCCTTCCGAAAAAACTTGGGATTTAAGTTGATTTTGCGAGATATTTCTTAACAGAGTTATTCAAGGATAGAGCGAGCTCGACTACTCAATGAAAACTCAGTTACATCTCACTCATTCATGAGAAAACCAATCAACTTTCCCCCGCCCCAACCATGTAAGATCTCGTTTGCTAAATTACCCTCTTGAATTTTTAAAAGGACGTTTACGAATACCAGTCTTCTCGAATTCTCACTTGCAAAGAGACTTAATTTGAACGATCGGTTGAAAACTGAAGCTTGATATTTGTTCAATATTTTCCCTTCGTTTGGTTCAGATTCATGAGAATGATCAAACCTTGCAATTGTTTTAAAATTCATGATCAGCTCAGCGATGCTTTTAAGCACTACACGTGTCAACCGCAAAACTCTTTCTTTTTATCAAAACCACTGAGGTACGTAATCACCTAATGAGATTTTCGTCACTCCCCCTGATTAAACGACAATTTCCGGATTTCTTGGATTCCTCATTAGAATGTAACTTGGTCAGCAAATTTTTAACAGTAATGAAACTGAAGGTTACTTTGCTTCGGGCGTTGATGTCCTCAGCAACTTAAACTTGTCATCGCTCGTTGCATTTGTAACAAAGCGAATACATCAAGCGATCGTCGGTCATATCTTGAGATCCCGACGACTGCACGAAGATTCACGAATGGTGACGAATAATGTTTCCGAGTATTTGAAGAAAGCTGAGAATGTGGCTCTTTCATCATCAACTGAAAGGTGAGAATTTGTGTATTCCGTAGATATGTCTGTATTTTGTTTTATTTTTGTAAGTCTTCGGCGTTTATTTGGGGTATAACGGGTAGGCGAAACCCAAATCGACTAACAGTACACTTTACATCGTTATTCATCGGTGACAGATGAAAGGACGTGCCAGAGAACAACACATTGGTGAAGATTCGTTCCTTCCGCACTTAAAATTCATAAACTGAAATCGAAGTCCAGAATTGACCTATCAGCTTTGGCGTAGCCGCTTTTGTCTGTAAGCTGTTCTTTATGATCAGTATTGATTTTTTGCGACGGTCCGTGTGATTAGATTCGCTCGGAATTTAACTGGTCGACCGCATCATTAGAATGTTTAGCTTCGGTTAACGCTGATCACAGCGACAGATACCTCGATTTAGCTACGTGGACCAAATTGAATTTCAGCTAACATATTTTTAAACATTGGTTAAACCTGGTAAATACCACAGGACTTCAATTCATAAGTATTTCGCTGCAACTGTCAAAGAGTTTACGTTTTCAGCGGGTATTCCAGAATCTCCTAATTACATGTTTTGAGCGAGCTGCTATAAACGAACAGTGACTGATTGCTCTGATATAGCTTCAGAAGCTTCTCTCTTCAACATCTGTACACGACAGTGGCAAAGTTGGTCAGCTGAAGAGCCAATTGCATCGTCTCTTATTTCTACTGGTATCTACAGGGACTGTTCGATTTATTTCATTTACCTCTGGTTATCATAGATACAAAATGAAATGAGGGAGTTATGTCATGTGTGGAATAATTTCGGAGGAATGACTGAACACGAAAGAACGCCACGAGGATTATTCGTGAGAGCGTGTTTATTACACGTTTAAAATGAGTTACACGAATTTGTGAGATTTCTGTGGATTAAAAAGACTGCTTCGTAGAGAAAGAAACACTATTAATTTGCTTGGACTGCTTTTAAGAGCGGCAAACAAGCACCAGTTTCTAATAGAGTTCTGCCGACAGACACGCACCGGAAACGAAAATCTCGATATTAACTGCAAGGGAATGACCGAACGATTGTCTCCAACAGCGAAAGAAACACGTCGATTTGTTTGGATTTTAGGGAAGTTGAGAACTTCGTTATTGTGATGAAAAAGACAAGGTGATTTGGTTCTTCGTATTGCTTTGTATATATATTTACAATTCCGAAATGTTGTACTTGTGGGCAGAGCATTCGAGCATTGTATTTCAATTTCATAACAGACATTGTCAAAAGTTCGCTTTAGTTGTTTTATTTATTTTATCGTGAAACAATGTGCGTATCGTTTTTCGACTCGTCTTTCCACGATCGTTTTGGTTTAGATATATATTCAAACGAAAAGAATTAACTGTTGTCTAATCCATTTGTTGATCTGGTATGTTCTCTTCAAGTGACAATTAATCTACAAGAATTTCGTGATACTAGAAAAATTATTTGCAAAGAGGTAATTTTAAGGAGAGAAATTAGCCGTGATTAACCCGTCAAGATGAGTTCAAATAGCTGAACTTTGAGAAGGGTGAATTTTTTTTAATTCTTGCCTTGTAGTTGCGGTCCTTTTCTACATGACTTACTTTAAAATTTTATTTGTAATTTCAGGGCAAAAGACGATTCGGAGGCTTACCAACACCATTACATTTACAACAAAGATGATGAAATCCGTAGAAGCACAGGGTCCATTTTTGGAGGTGATAGCCCATCTAAAGTGAAATCACAACCAATGCATGTCCGAAGTAATAGTGACACAAGCGAAATAAATGTTTCAGTGAGGAATAACTATTCTGATGGGCCTGCTGCAGAAGCCCGTTCTCCCACCGGAGAAAGTTTCTTTGCCTTAATAAGAAAATTTGAGCAAAACATTCAAGATGGACAGATTCAAAAGTCATGGTTTTATGAAAATGAAAACCAGAATTACATTGTTGATGGGTTTAGAGGAAAGCCCGGTGCAAGCTCTGCCAATTCAAGTCCCTTGGTTGAAAGAAGAACTCCTCTCTTACGTCGAAAAAACTCTTTAAGAAACAACAGTTATTTTGGGAGAGTTTTTAAAGGTTCTGGGGATACGAAGGGAGGAGAGGAAGAGGTTGGAGATGAACCATCTAGGAAATATTTTGCACATTATGACTGCCGCAGTATAACAGTTGATTTTGATGAGCTGGCACTTGCATTGTCTGCTCAAGGTGATGGACTTAAAAGGAAGAATACGCGATCTGGTGCTTCAGCAGCATCAACTCAGGTTACTGCAGCAACACTTGCGGATAGAATGCAAAGACGTGGCTCAGACTCAAGTGCGAGCACAAATGAGGATGATCTTCCTGACATGGGAGATGACAAAAGTAATGGTCTTGTTCTCAACTGTCCCTATTTTCGTAATGAACTTGGTGGGGAGGAGGAGCAAGACCTACAGATTGGTCTCACGCCAGATAATGTGGCATTTCAAAATCTTCACGATCCAATGCCTCCCAAGGAACCAAAATTAGACACGTTTAGGCGAAGGTCAACCCTTGATATTCTATTGACTGCATACGACTCGGCACAGGTTGGAAATTTAAGTAGTGGAACAGGTGTTACCATTCTTGACAACTCAAAACCTGAGAGTGGTTTCTTATTTCTCGGGGAAAGAGGCCGCAATGAGGATGGTCGAGTCTTTGAGCATGTGGATCATGGATCCTATTATTACAGAAACTTTTTTGTTGGTCAAGGTATGTTAAGCATGGCTTTGGTTAATATTAGATTTGGGTAACTCATCCTATATGACAAACTTTTGCCATTAAAACTGGTTTTTGAAAAACTCTGTTAACCATTTAATCCCTGATAGTGGATGGCTTCTAATTTCTTCTTACAATATCACCCCTGAATCACACATTAAGGTCAGGAGAATAAAGGAAATGATCACCAACTAAAAAAGCTCTTGATTGATAAACAAATTCTCTTAGCCAGCACCTCGGGAAATGTACAGTATAGAGAATAGTATCAAGAATATGCAAAGTGATGTTGGGGTAAAAAGGGTTAAGTTAAATTACCCTAAGCATTGGTATACTTAATACGACTAATCTAATTAAAGCTAAATCAGGTCATTTCTGAACTGTTACTGATCTGCTTTGTACTTCATGGTGCATTGGACAAAGTGTATATTATAATTGTCAGTAATTAGTAATAGTAATTAAGGTATGAAAGAGTTTCCCTTTATGAAGTGAAATCTTTAGTCCTTCATTTTTAACGCTCTAAACTCTAAAGAGTGACCAGCATCTCGTTTTTATAAGTATACACTGTACAGTATTACTGCTGACTCATTTACTGAGATCAGGAGCATAAAGTAAGTGATTTCCAACTTGAGAAGCTTTGATTGTTAAAACAAAATAATTCTCGTTGTCCCAAAGGGAAGGAAAAGCATAGAGAAGAGTGTGGGGAATATGTATGCTGATGTAAAGATATAACAGGTTAATGATGTGAGGAATACAAATTATATTCTCTGACTTTCTTTTCTTTCTGTAGAACATCTGAATTATCTTGGAATGGATGAGAGATTTGGTCCTGTGGCATTGTCCTTGAAACGAGAAAAGCTTGATGAAAGCATGTCACTACTAAGGGCAGGGGAGGCCGAGGGAAACACATATCAATATCGAATAATTGCAAGATCAAGTGAGGTAAGCAGGGATTTGCTAAAGCAAAGGCATAGAAAAAACCAGGAAAGATTTATTACTCGACGTTGACCCCGAAACGTCGAGTAATAAATCTTTCCTGGTTTTTTCAAGTGAGGTAAGATTCTAAAAATTTTGTTTGTGTTGATAGAGATCTGTGATGACATCTTTCAAACCATTTTGATGTGAGCTTCATTGTTCTGTGTTCACTATCATGCCCAGGTACAAAGAAAATGCTTCTTCTAATGCATGAATGCTTGGCAAGTGTGATGGTTAGAGCATTATACAGAAACCAACATTCTAAATTCCAATTCGATCTGGAACAGTGGACAAGAATAGCCACCCAGTGGATGTCCATTGTTAAATCATTATTTATCATTATTTATTTATTTATTATTATTTATTTATTATCCAGAACGTAAAATGTGACATGTAGGTTACCAGTAGACTCCACCTAACCCTTTTACTTCCAAGATCTGATTGTTAATTCTCCCTTCTAGCTGCTTCACATTTCTTTATAAACTTGTTATTTAACAATTATTCGCCGAAGGCGAGGTGAATATATATATCTTATTAGACATTTTTTTGTGTAGTATCGCTGAGTATTTTTACGAGTTGTGCTGTATTTTGAGGAGCCCGTAGGGCGAGTCAAAATACAAATAATGAGTAAAAATACTCAGTGATACTACACAACAAAACGTGTAATAAGTTATTCATTATCCAACATGCCAAACTGTTATTTCAGTGCGGGCGAATTTCACGGATGTTTATTTATGGGGAGTGCGTGACAGAAGTATGCGAAGAGGAACGGAATTGGCGCATTGTTGTGCTGCTGTTTCTATTTTCTTCATTAAATGAAGAAATTTTCTGGTCTTCAAGCTGTTTTTTTTTAGTTCGATTCATCTAATGAACTTGGATCTATATTTGCCAGCCATTCTGACTCTTCATCATCGGAAATATAATTCAAATTGTCCGCCATTTGTTTTTTTTTTGTATCTACAATCCAATTTTTCGCTTGCGCGATCCAAGAAAACCTGTTTAACTGGTACTACAATNAGAGCTGAACATAACATTAATTTTTAGTAACATTTATTAACTTTTTATTTTAACATTTTATATAAACCGAGTGGAGCGGTTTATATAGCGTCATATAGGGAACCGCTCGACCAATCAGATTGCTGGAAACTCTTTTCTCAGCTTTGAAATTATACTAAGAGAATTTAGTGGTAGATCAAGATAACAATTAAGCTCTACCTGATAGGTTTGAATATTCTCATCACCTGTGTGCTGGATGATGTAGAGATATTGTAGGGAAAAGTTGTACCATAAATCCTCTAATAAGTCCAAGGGGGGGGGGCACTTATTTATTTTAGGTACTTTGGGGGGGTGGCGGCATATGAGAGGGGGGGCTTACTTCGCTCCAACAAAGGGCTAACGCTTGAAACGTCAGCTTTTGTAATCGTAACGGTGGCCAATTTACCATTTCAACTTTGTTGATATATCCAAATTACTGGAGGTGGGCTTAATTTAGAACTCAACAAAGAATTTAATTTTAGGATCTAACTCTCTCAATGGACCTTGTTTAGCCCTGTTATATTTTTAGCATTGCTCTGTAATTTCTGGATACTGTTTTCTATTGATGCCAACATGATAATATCAATCAGTCAATCGGTCACCATAATCAATTTTAAATGACAAACTAAAATAACAGTACTTGAATAAATTTATCTGACATGGAGTTTTATTTTGAATTTTTGTTTTTTGACGGGGAGGCATAATAAATTTCTCCCTCCAAAGAGGGGGAGCTTATTAAAAGATTTGCAGTGTGTAAATTGCTTCTGGTAGTGAAAGTATTAATTTTTGTTCTGTATAAGGGATTAACCCAGGCTTCCTTCAGTAAAGCTTGTCTAAACCAATAAAGAATTTTTTGCAATTAGGGATTGAACATTATTTTGATACAGTATTTTTTGAGTACATTAATTGTTGAATGAATGATTGATGATTAGTGATTAATCATTTATTTTTGACAACTTTGTAGTTAACAACACTTAGAGGAAGTATTTTAGAGGAAGCTATTCCATCAACTTCAAGACATGGTGCTGCACGTGCCCTCCCAGCTAAAGACATCCTTGAACATGTGATTCCAGAGTTACAGTTAACTGCCCTAAGGATGGCACAACCTGGTATAAAGGTATAGTGCTCAACTGGAAGATACATGACAGAGTCTATCAGAGTTTTTGCAGGAATTTTTCAACAGGGATCTTATAGTAAAGTTTCACTGGGAGCAAACCAGGAATTTTGTAGTATACTATAAATTACAACAGTTTTTTCATCCCAATAGGGATGAATTGCACCCTGTGGCTCTTCTTAAATACTCTCTTGGTTAAATAATGATGAAAATATGGATTATTGTGATATACCTAGACTTTCACGCAACAAAATGAGCACTGTGATAGGTGGTTCTTGTTCACTGGTCCCTGATCAAATTCAAATATATCCCGACCAGGATATAATTGTGCGGTTGTTGCCCGTGGGGCAAATATAACAGCATGTTTTTGCTATATGGGTGTTTAAGGGAAAGTCTAAATATATAACAAAGCAATTAATATATGGTCCCTCAGGAAACTAGTTAGTTTTGTTTTCTCTCGAGTCCTGATGTTTCCTGAGATGAAGTCAAGGGAAACGTCAGGATTCTTGGGAAAACAAAACTAATTCTTTCCCTGGGGACCATACATAAGGGGATATTAGTATAATTACTCCGGTGCTTATAGAAATTCTTGCGCTCTTATTGGCCGAGAATGGCGTCATATTTCATTATAATCACCTCCGGCAAGGCGATTATAGTGGGAGGACAAATTTTCAAAATGGCCGCCTCGCACTTTGTTGATGTGTCTGAAGAGGAAATTAATTTAATGAAAGAAAATGCCATTCCGAGGAATACCAAACATGCCACAAAATTCGGAATGACAATCTTCAAAGGTAAGGTATGAAAATTGTGCTAAATGTAACAAAGAAACCATTTAAATTCCCAAGAAAATTTTGCCTATGTCGACATGCAGGAATAAATCAAAATAACTACATTAAATTTTTGCAACACTTTAATGTTTACTTAATAGAATGGTTTCAACAACAAACCGAATTTACCACTGACTTTGAGGCAATGGAGGTCAATGAGATAAATAAATGTTTGTTAAAATTTTACATCTCAGTCAGGAGGAAAGACAGGACTTTTTACAAGAGAAATAGTCTGTTGTCCATGCGAGCAGCTCTTGCTCAGTTGTTCACTGACACATGACAATGACAAATAAAATTTAACATTCCTTTGCTCATTTATATAATCACAGTGAGTAATTATACTAAAACAATTATTCGCCTCAGGCTCATGAATATTGGTGAATACTCCCCTCGACTTTGTCTTGGGGAATATATATATCTTATTAGACGTTTTGTTGTGTAGTATTGCTGAGTATTTTTACGAGTTGTGCTGTATTTTGACGAGCCCGT